TTGCATAGTCAATGAAGCACAGGTAGACATTCCTCTGGTATTCCCTGCTTTCAGCCAAGATCCATCTAACATCAGCTACAATATCCCTAGTACCGCGACCCCTTCTAAACCCAGCCTGGACTTCTGGTAGTTCTCTGTTGATGTGCTGTTTCAGTCGTTTTTGGATAATCTTCAGTAAAACCTTGCTTGCATGTGAAATCAATGAGATTGTTCTGTAGTTTCCACATGCTCGCTTGGGCAGCACATATACTAAAATTGGAACGATACAGAGAAGATTAGCATGGCCCCTGCGCAAGAATGACACGCAAATTCGTGAAGCGTTCCATATTTTGGACCTGAACCCTGATTAGATAGGTAGCCTACTTTTTCTCCATTTACTTGTGGCTGAATTCCTGATTCCATGTAGTATGTTGAACGTGTTATCCTCATAGGAACATTGCTGAAATACTGAAAGGATCTACCACTGTCAAAGTAAACTCCTATAACCCGGTGAGGCCACCTTCCATGGTCAAAATACACCAGCACCCTCCAAAACACCTTGAAAATGTATCTTCCAACACTGTTACAACTGGTATTATGTTGCTAGTTGGTTTTTGTTATTGTTGTTGTTATTGTTAAAGGTATGTATGGCTGGGGCGGGGGGGGGGGGGGATTTTGTGAAAAGGAAGGCATTTTAATAACAAAATGAGCAGTAGTTCCAAGAAGGCAGTACCCTTGCTGACTTAAATGGTAAAACATTGACCAAGAACTAGGAAGCAAAAATGGGACTATTTTGAAGATATGTCTTTGTGATGTTTCTGAATCTTTCTGTTTCGGTGTTTTGAATGTAGTTCTGATTCTAGAAGAAGAAAGAAAATTTCCAGTCATCTTTTCTGGTTTTGTTGCAAAATACAAAAACGGTAAATTAACAAGTTAAATCCATGGATCTAGACCTTTGAGTTTTTAGTGGTTTGTTGTTGTTGTTGTTTAAATTTTTTATATTTTGGAATAAGATTCAGGTATACATTTTGCCTTGCAACTGTTAGATTTACAATCTAGCAATTTCCTGTCCCCAGGGCCTATTTCCCCCTCCCCCCCTGCTTTGAAAGAGAAGATACTTTGCACCTCTCAGGGTCATCATGAGAATTAAATGAAATAATGGGTTTGAAAGTGAAACAGTTCTTTGCTACACACAGTTTTCACAAACACAATATGACTAAGTGTCAAGTTGAACACTAAAAAAATAGCTCTCATCCAGAATTAAGGTTGCATAGAGAAGTGTAGTGGGGGTGGGGGGTGGGGGGAAGGGACGTGGGAATTGTATACTAATGAAGGAGTTTTTTTTCTTTTTCTTTTTTTTTTGGAGGGGGAAGCGAGCTGGTGGGGAGGGGTGGGCAGGGAGAAAATTGCGGCAATGAATGAATGGAAATCCAAAACTTCTGTAAAAAAAAAAAACAAAACACAAAACTGTCTCTTGTAATTAATCCTATTGTTCAGTGAAACAAGTAAGCCCACAAACAGAAAAAATGTATTCAAGCAATGCTGGAAGTCTGAGGAACTAAAAAAAAGGGTCACATTTTCTTCTCTGTGCAAGAAAATTAATAGTAGACACAGGTTGGTAATCAAGGTACCCTTAGGTCCTGTGCTCCTCAACTCAAACAAGGGACAGCACAGGAATGTGTTGCACTCCAGCAGAGGGACTGGTACAAGAGAATAAGAGAAAGGCAGGAGAGCTTGAAGACAGAGTCAGGAAAGTACGTAAGGGATGAATTCTGGGATCAAGGCAAGTTCAACACAGAAGTGTGGACAAAAGGCTGGACAGCAAGTATGTGACTAGTAATGCCAACTTAAGCCTCTCAGAGCACATCATTTTGACAAAGATGAAATCTGAACATACATTATAGATTAGGTTATAGCACAGATTCAGTGTTAAAGTTCTGATTTTGATAGCTAATAAAAGGAAATATTAGGATATGCCTTTGTTTTTAGAAAATGTACACTGAATATTCAGTGGGAAGGTAAAGGAGGTCTTCATTTAGTCTCAAATGATTCAGAAAAAATACACTTTATCTACACACATATAAAGAAAAAGAGAACTACAGGATACATGAAGAATAATGGTTGTGAATATAAAAGCCAGAGAATCTGAGTGAAAGGCTTGTAAAAAGTTTATTCGAGGTTCCCTATACTGTTCTTGCAACTCCTCTACAAACTCAAATAATTAGCTATAAAACACTAACACACTACTTAGCAACAAAACCAGGTCTACATTTCTTCTTGTAAGAGAAAGAGCCTTGTATGAGCCTGAATGAAAAACAATAAACCTCTACAAGCCCAAACCTTCCTCTGCTCCAGCAGGGCTGAACACCTGCCACACAGTCCACTAGCTGAGAACCGTAAGTCCTCCACACCTCTCCTCATCTATGTCCCCCACGACTATCAGCCCTACCCCAGTGTCAGTCACACCTCACCAACGGGGACCTACCTGGTCCTGTGTGTTTGAGGATAAAGTTTTCATCATCAAACTTCTTCCCGTAGATGGACTTGCCCCCAGTGCCGTTGTGATTGGTGAAATCGCCGCCCTGACACATGAACTGTGGAATGATGCGGTGGAAGCTGCTCCCCTTGAAGCCAAAGCCCTTCTCATGGGTGCACAGGCAGCGGAAGTTCTCTAGGGTGGAGAAAGAAAGGTGCTGAGGTGAAAAAACGTCTAACTAGAGAGTGAAAGAAAAAGCAGTACTTCATAAAGGCTGGCATCTTAAATCACAGGAGCAATGAATTTTTTTAAAAAATACAAAATGATGTACACCCATGTTTACTGCAGCTTTGTTCACAACAGCAAGGAGTTGGAAACAACCTAAGTACTCATCAACAAACAAATGGATAGAGAAGCTGTGGTATATTTACACAATGGAATACTACGCTGCATTGAAAAACAAGAACTCAGGGAGCTCTGGTGGCCTAGTGGCAAGAAGCTGCACTGCAATCCCAGAGGTACACGGTTTGAATCCACCAGATGCTCTGCTGGAGAAAGAGGGGCAATCTCCTCCTATACCA